TAAGACGGTTCAACTTAACGACTTTCTGACTCTACCATAGTGCGGAAGGAATAAGCATTCAGTGAAAACCGTACTTCAAATTTTGAATTCTGATCTTTTCCGAGTCTAGGGACACACGGTATGATATTCTCCCATGATGCTGGGCAGCGGCAGCGAGCCACAGCTCCCAGTCAGCCTTGCAATCACGAGGGTGAACAAGAGATACGCTTACACCATTCTGTTACCACACATTAATCCTGTTTTTCATTTTCAGTAGAGGATTCAATAAATTACATGAGACATTCAACACTATATTATAAAATAGGCTTTGTATTAGATGATTTTATCCAACTGCAGGCTGATGTAAGTGTTCTGAGCACGTTTAAGGTAGGCAAGGCTATGCTATGATGCTCAGTAGGTCAGGTGTATTAAACACATTTTCGACTTATGATATTCTTAACTTACAAAGGGTTTATTAGGATGTAACCCCATCATAAATCGAGAAAGATCGTAATTCAAAAGAAGGAAAATCGTTTGACACAGCTGAGTGGGAACAAGCGGAAAGACAAAGAACACACTTTCTGCTAGTGCTTTAGAAGGCATCACAGTTTGCGTAAGGTTAATCAAAATGGAGCAGCAAGATGGCCTACTTCACATACAGCCTGCAGGAAATGGAAAACGTAAGCTAAAATGATGAAAAGAATGGATTTTGTTGCAAGTACACACTTAGGCAAACATTTTCCCCTCTGGAAGGCAATGGATGCTATTCCTGGAGTAGCCCCTTTCTACTCCAATCCCTTTGAACCTATATCCTCCCGGGACGAATTCACATCGAAAAACCTGCAGCAGCCCCCTCAGCCAGATGCTGTACCAACGCCTGGCAAAGACGTTAACTGACTCTTGGGTAACTTGCAGTTGAAATTCTTATTCGGATGCAAACTTCAAGCATCTTTAAATACCTTAAAAAGTTCTGTCTCTAAAATTACCTATTTATTTTTGTTTAAAAAGAATAGGAAGAGGTGAGGGCGCCCCCCTTTGGAAGGTAACAGCTAGAATAAAGAATCATTCCCCTCTGCACCATCTCCCCAAGGCAGATCCTTAGAAGTTTCCACATTAAAAAATTTGCCTTAAATATTTTTGAAATGCTTTAACAATATAGATTGGGCTAAGTCAATTAAGAGAAAAGAAACTTTGGACCAAAACCTCAAAATGTATGTAAAGTTTACGACTATAATGACACCTAACAGTTTCAACTAAAAATTTCTAAGAATCGATTAACATATATGCCAGTTGATTGGTACAGTATCTGGCTGGAGATGTTTTTTTAATCTAAATTGGGCCTGGGAGGATATAATTTCTTTTGTATTATCACCCAAAGGAAATACCGACAAGTGTTATTATTAATTTCAATAGGCGACCACTAGATTACCCGCCTAACTGTAAGTGTACACTCTTTTGCCCAAGACCTGAAAGCTATATTAAAATTCAACCCTCTCAACTCTGCCTTACATTTTTAATGAACATGAAGGAACTTTCTAGCGTATTAAACTAGAGTATCATGCCTGAGTTTTCTGAATCTTTTGTCATACAGGCAGAAATGGGAACAAATTACTTTTACCAAGCCTGTCCATATTTACTGGCATAGAAGCTAAAAGGCATTTTATCCTATGTGTCAAACAGCTTGCCGTCAGCTTCAGAAATCATCTTTTACAAGGACGGCATATGGCCTCAAGCCAGCTAAGCACTAAAGCATGTTGGGCTGCCCACAGTGCAAATTATTTGGAATGTTCTCCATCTTTTGTGGTTACAAAAGTACCTACTTTGTGGATCATCCAGTTCAAATTAGGGCCACATCTGACCTTAAACAGAAAATTCCCAGGAAACTGAAACTATAATTGACCAAGATCCCATTAGTTCTGAAAGGCAGTGATCTCAGAGATTCAAACATTTCAAACGTATTTTTTAAAAGCCGAAGTGACACAACATAAACTCTGTGAAACACATCACTGTCTATTTCAAGTAAACACTATGAACTCACCCTAATTACAGAGGTCATGCTTGCAAAAAAAAGGAGGAAGGGGAGATTATTACATGCAACACATTAAAAGGCATTTGTAGCAAATATAAACACATTTCTGGTAAATGCCTGGCAAATTAAAGCAAAAAGTCTAAAAAATCATTTCATTTCATTTCTAACTTTCGTACATATGCTGAAATGTAGCAGCTTCAGCTGTGGACTGAAGCACTGTATTATAGGTATTATTTTCCCAAGCATTAATGGAGACCTCTCTCAAATCATTTCCTACACTGGAGTATCAAAACTTCCCCAGGGTTTGCCTCCCATGCCTTTGAAGTCTATTCTCTTAAGTCCCAGACCTATGGGGGCATGCCCTGAAGGTCATTTTTGAAGAGTTAAAAGAAGAAAACACTACACTGACAAGCTAAATGTTACCTAAGGATTTCTCTACTGAAGATAAATAACTGAAGCTTAAGAAATGCCTGCTTCAATCATCCATTGGTGGGATAACTCAGTCCATTTTAACAAATATGTGGTTAGGATCGTTGGCATATGGCTCCCTGGTCCAAGCCTTGTGTGAGAACAAGAACATGTTGGAAAACATAGTATTTTTTAATAGCAACCGATATTGACGAAAATGCTGAAGAAATGAGAAGTCCTAACAGGCTGTTTTTAGCTTCTGATCTTTTAGACCTGCTGTTCTCAGTGCAAGTGTATTATCAAGTCCCTGAACAGTTTTCCATGTTATACATACATAAATATGCATCTCCACGGCTATATGGATATATATATAATGACCAAGGAAGGGCCTGCGAGAGCAGCATGCAGAGTAGGCCTTCCTCAGGTGTGCTGCAGACCAAGGACACCCCACCTCCCCATCCCTTCCATCAGAGTCTGAGTGCGATGGAGGTGTTGGGGGCAACACGACAGCCCCTCACCCCAACTCTCCAGCAGGCCTGGAAGCAAGAGCCCCAACCTCAGGGCCACAATGAAGTTTGCTTTGCCAGGAAAATACATATATATTAAAATATATATATATATGGAGATATATATATCCATAGCTATCTACATCTATCCCATATCAATCCATAGATAGATATAGATAGATATGGATTTTGTGAGATATATATTTGTGATATATTTATGTGACATATATATTTAGTTTCAAAAAGAATCATTCACAAAACAATCATCTCAAATCAAATAAACTATATAGAAAATCTCATGATACTCATATTAATCAATACAATCCTAACAACTAAGTCACATCCACCTTAGAATCCCAAATTTTTACTGAATGCAGTACTGTCTCGCCTGGAGCCCGGCAAACTTAAGGAAGAATGGTAACTGCAGTTAGGGTTTTAAGTATGTGACTTTTTCTAAGCAAATTTTTTCTCAAGAATGTTCAGTTTGCTGCAAATTTTCAGAAAATGCTCGATATGGTGAATTCTTTTTTGAAAGTTTCAGTTCTGGTATATTTGACAGAAGAGTGACAAAATTGTGCTCAGAGATGAATATCTATATTCCCAACGAAATGTTATAATATTAATGGTTATTCTGGAAGGATTTTCTTTCAAAATTTCCCCACTGCAAATAAGACATTTCCTACAAGACTGTCTATTTTGGTAGTATATTTTTCACACACAAAATTATATGTAAAACATATACCTCAGAATTTAAATATTTCATGATACTCTTTAAACAAGCTCCCACATTCTGTTTTTATTTTTTGAAATAATCTGGGCTATATAAACAATTATGTCACTAAAATTACGACTATGCAACATGTCACAAAATATAGGGACTTTCCATCAGCAGCTTTATTTGTAGCTGAAATCAGATGTTCCGTACACAATGTGAGTGGAGAAGACAGAAACAGAAATAGGTGTGGTAAGACCTGGGAGTGGGAGAAAATGGGCACAGGACACCCATTTGTGTAATAAATGTACTTATATATTAGGTTTCATCAGATAATTACACGTATTACATACCTCATCCATAGGTGAAACCATCTGAGGCAATGTGGGATTATGCAAGAAACATCAGGTTTTATTTATGATTCTTAGAAACACTCTCCTACAATTAGTTGTAGCCTTCTTAATCTAAGAGACAATGAAAACCAAATTCACCAATAAACAAAGAAAAAATCTTATTTTTAAAAAATAGGTTAAAGCCTCATATTACCTCACTGAAAAAACTGCATCCGACTATGACGGTACCTGTATTTCCTAAGTTTCCAGACCAAATCTAAATATTTCATCAGGGACTAAACGATCATTTTGAAAATTTGGGTCAGTCCCGGGGGATAAATTTAATAAAGGTATATTGTTGAGAGGTTTTTTTTTTTAGCATCCTATGCCTCCAAGATGTTTTTTTTTTTTTTTCTTAAAAAAAAAAAAATGTTTTCCAAAAGGGGCGAGGGAGGAAGGATTAAAATCAGGGTGATGCTGACAACCGACCCAGGCTGACCGCCAGACACACAGCGCCCACATGGAAGAGGCCACCTCTCGAACTGCTGGAGCCCGCAAGGAGCCTTCCCACCGGGGCAAACGGGGTGAATTTCAGCCCTAAAGAGTGACGAGACCACACTGTAAAAGTTCAAGAGGATTCCATCCCCCTCCTCTCACTCCCAGCACTTAGCTTCTCCAGGAGAGAGCCCGGCAGTGAAAGAGCCGGCACTGGGTGCCAACCTGCAGCCGCCCGGTTTCCTAGAAGGCCTAAGTGCTCCAGCAGGCAGGGATGGGGGCGGCGGCGGCGGGCGGCGCGGCGAGGCGGCCCCCGGGGAAACCGAGTCCCGGCCGGGCCCCACGGTGTGGCGCTGGCTGCTGAAATCACTCTAGTCCAGCTGCAAAAATCTTCCCGAAAACCCGAGCTTCTCCGGCACAACTTCGCCTCCTTCTCCGCCATACACTCCCCCCAGCTGCATACCGATCTCGACGCGGCGCATCAAAGCGCTCCCTGCAGGCTGCTACCTGTCCCGGGGGCCCAGGACCCCAAGTCTCACCTCATACAAAGAGCTGCGCGCGGGCGCCTGCACAGGAGCCCAGGGAGCATGGCCCCACACAGTCCCTCCCGGAACTTTCCTGACATAGCACTTCTCTCCTCCGCCGCAGAAAAGAACGCTACGAGGCAGAGGAGGAGGAGGAGGAGGAGGAGGTGGCGGTGGCGATCCAGGAGGCGGCGGCGGCGGCGGGAGCTGGAGCCGAAAGTAAGGAGCATCGCGGCCGAGCGCCGCCGCCTCCCAATCTGCCGAGGGGTTCCCGCCCCCAGGGTAACCAAAGCTCCCTCTTAAAGGCGCCCGCCGCGCTTTAGGACGGGAGGGGGGCGGGGAGGAAGGAAAGGGGGAGGAGGCAAGTAAAGAGGGAAGGGGCAAGCAGAGACCGAAAGATTCAGAGGCCACCGTCCGGGGTGCCCCCGGGCTGCTGCGCTTCCCTTTCCCGGCTGCGCCTCTCTGCTCCCCGCCAGGTCTGGTCGCCCCTCTGCCTGAGCAAATGTGGGGCAAGTGCTGGGACCCGGCACGGGGGGCCGCCCTCGCCATTGGCTTGTCCTGCACGACGATCCCTGGAATTTAGCCACTTCTCCTAACCGCTCTAGTCGCTTTTAGGGTCTCGTCTTCCCGGCGCCCCCAAAGCCGGTGCGCGCCGCTGGCGACTGCCCATGGAATCGCGTTTCCTCGCGTTTCTTGCTCGCTCTTTCTCTATCTCCAACATAGTGATCAGAATCTCCCCCAGGAGCGCAGGAGACTAAAATAATTAAAGACCGGCTGGGGTCCCTAGACTGACCCCTGAAGATCTCACTGCTGTGACTTGTCACTTGCTGACTTGCCAAATGCTCTGCTTTACCCTGTGTTCTGTTCTCCTCCAGTTGCCAATTGCCAGGTGGGCATCAACTGGATTTCATGAACCATTGACCTTCATCAACAAAGACTGGCTGTAATGATTGCCAAACTGAACTCAGGAAGGCCCTCCAGAAAAGACACCGCCTTAAAATCTAAATGATGCTGGGAAATCCTGCTTCAAAGAAACAAGTGATTGTTTTTCCAGCTATCATCAACATTTGTGATCACTGCTGAGACCACAGTGGGGTATGCCCCGCGTGGGGATGCTCCGGAGACACACAGCATCAGCAGCTGTCAACACTCTAAAAATAGACCACAGTAAACAGTGGGTGTGGGCAGCAAAGGGTTTCTTTTTCTACCCCCTGGCTCCCATGCTTAGTACTTTGGGGTCTCAGCATAGTGTTGTGTCATTTGTACCCTGCTCAGTATTCTCTGGCTGAAGTGGAGGTGGGCAGGCAATTGAGGGTTAAGATTCAGCCTAGGCTCTAAAGAACCCCCAGGGGGGCTCAGAGGGAATGGTACTTTCTAATTCACACAAAGGCACTTGCATCAGTAGCCTGAAACTGGACCTCAGTTCTTCCTCTCCTGCCACCTTCAGCTGGGAAACAAGCACACGTTGACTTGTGGAGGAAGAGGGCAGGGAGACAACAGGCAAAAGATCAGAGCAATTTCTGTTACCAAATGGAGAGGAAATAAGCCTTGGGCTCTATAAAAGTGGGAGACAGGGTTCAGCCTGGACCAAACGTTAAGATGAGAGAGGAGGTTAGCCATGAGCAGAGTGAGGATATCCTGGTTTTATGATAAACTCCTGTGTAATGTCAGGATAGTTGGATGTAATAGGTACCCAACTCGAACTGACTTAAGAAAACCTACAGTGGAGGAGGTTGGAATGTATTAGCTCATATGCTTATAAATCCCAAGAGCAGAGCTGGCAAAAAAACCATGAGATTTTTAAATCCTTTTTTTCTTCAGATGCTCATAGAGTGTTAGGACTCAGTTTCTCTCCATATGGTGGCTGTGCTTTCATTCCACTGGTGTTATTTTCTCTAATCAGGGCCTAGATCTACAGCCCCAGGCTTACCTCCTCCTCCAACCTCCTTAGCAGTGGATCCCATTAGCAAGAGAACAGGCCAAGAAATGAATCTCATCGGACTCATTTGGATCCTGTGCCCAACTCTGAATTAACCATGGTAACCATGGATTAGAAGAGGCACTGCGAAGTTGGGGTCATTTGCCTGAGTCTGAAAAAGGTCACGGGAGATACCTTAGTGCCTGTTCCCTCATCCCCAATACACACCCAAACCACAGGGACTGAGCAGGAGAGAGGAGGTTCCCCAAAGGAAAATTAGTGTTAACAAAGAGGAAATGAATATGGAGAAGGGAAGGACCATAGATGACCCTTTCCTCACAGCCCCCCATTTCCCAACACACGCCCCCCCCCCCCCGACTCACACACACACATACACATACGTACACATACATATACACCACCCAAGGGACTTACTCCTTTCTGGCTCCTCTACCAGTAGCCTCAGGACCAGAAAAATGCTGATGGTCATGGAGTTGCAAGTAACTGAACCAGCCAGCCACATCCTTTGGCCTCAGAAGCCACTGGGAAGGTCTTCAGTGATGTTGAACAAACCACTTGCAAACAAACAATACCTAAAACGTAATTATAGTCAATAATGTTCTTCCTAGATTATGATACCTCTGCCTCTACACGCCGGCCATCCCACATTCGTTGTTAAGCCTTGTGTCATCATGTAATCAATTCAACTTGATAAGAGTCCATGGAAATTTCGCATTACATATATATTCATTCAACTTGAAAAAGAAATGCGGCCTACGAACAATTACGTTTCAGTATCCAAGTGACACCGGGCCCAACTTCATTTTCAAACTCCAATAAGTTCCTCTTTCTCTTTTCAGAGATAGCTCAGAGGAGTTTATATTTTGCCAACCGAAAATGCCATTTCAGCCTTTTTTCTTCCCACACAAAAACTTGTCTTGCAGTGGCTCATAAAAACGTTTCATATTTTCTTCCTTCATTTCTGTATTTTGTAGAATTAGTTTGTAGATATGATTTTTAAAAATAAACTTAAAAACCTGCAAGAGACTTTAAAGTTAACCTAAAACCGCTCCCTTCGTTTCAGGGATGAAGACATGAAAGCTCAGAGACTGACTTGTCTAAGGTCATACAGCTGTTAAGTATCTGTTATGTGCCCAGCTCTGTGCTAGACATTTCAAAAAGTAGGGAAGCAAAAGCATACCACATGGTCACTGTCCTCAAAGAGGTTAAATTTAGTCAAGCAGACATAACCGTCTAAGATATACGGCAATTATACAGAGCATCACAATATATCATATCGTTTAGTGTAAAAAAGATGTGTGATGAGCTCTGTGTGTTAACTACAGGCATTGAAGTAAGAGACGCTATGCATTGGAGTAGTCAAGGAAATGCTTTTTAGCCAGGAATCAATTTGATGGCCTTTAAAAAATGCAGAGAAAAAAAAGAACAGGCTTTCCAGGTGAGAAAACAAACAAAATGAGAAGACATCCATTGGCAAAACAAACAAAATGAGAAGACATTGCCACGTGTTTGGAACAGAAAGGAAATCTGTAGTGTCATGGTTTAGGCAGGCGCTTCAAACTGCAAATCCTGAAATCATTTTAGTGGGTTTTGACCAGTAATTTTTTAATTAAATAAAACAAAATACCAGAGTGCATCATGCTTAATAAGTTTAAGTATTATTTGTTAAACTTGTGTTTCATTATCTTGTGTTATGATGTAAATTTCATGGCTTGCTTTGGGTCATGTTCAAAAAACGTTCAAAAGCCCCTAGTTCTGGAGTCAGACTGTGAAACTGCTTTGGAGCAAGACATTGAGCGAATAACGTCTCTCAAGCATCAATTTCCTTTTGTGCAAGAGATTTCCAGCACAGCCCTTTGCAGAGAGTAACACCTATAAATGATACCTCTTATGTGCTGGCTAGATTGGAGGTTTTCAGCCCTGACTGCAAGTTAGAATGACCTGAAGAGCTTTTTTATAATACCAATGCCTGGGACCCACCCTCAGAGACCCAGATTCTGTTCTGGGGTAGAGTCTGGGCATCAGAGTTTAAAAGCTCCCCAGGTGCAGTCATGGCTGCCAATCCTTGGCTGGACCCCCAGCAGAACACATCTAGCACCTGAGGAGCACGGTGATCCCTGTCTCCTTCAGTGGGCACATTGACCTTCATGACTTATGTTTCTATTTCTTTACAAGCAATGGATAGCATACTAGGTAGTCAGCAGAATTCTAACTGCCTTCTGCCCTGAAAATCTGCAACTGTGGTGCAAACGGCTCATGGTTTATCTCCATCAGTAACACAGCGTGGATACTGAGTCATAGTCTCTTATGTATCTCTCCACCTGTGCAGTTTATGGTCAGTTATCAGCATACAGTAGTTTCTGGAGGTGTTAAAAAGTGGTAAAATACCACCAGAAATTCCCTAAGGAAGAGGAACAGGACTAGAAGCAAATGGCCTTGGAAATCTATAAGCTAAATAATTAGCAAATGACTCATTAAATTTCAGCTATCATCATCCTGGCTTTTAACAGTGTGGCTTCTAAATATAGTAATTACTGATGTGCTTTTTATAAGTTTGCATTCAGTCATCCCTAAGTGTTCACATCTTATACATTTTTACCCTATTAAGCCAATACCTTTGTGTATGAAGCAGAAGTTTTCCTCAAACACAAATTGTCCTAAGACTCACAACCACTGGTATTCTGCGCCTAGTTATCTTGTCTATGTAAATCTCAACTTTTTTTTAATTTGTTTGGGCAAAATAATAAATGTAGCATAATTTAGAATCTCACCAAAATTAGTTGCTTAGACAGAGCAACTAAGGTAAGAAAGAAAAGGAAAAAAACTGAAATCGAAAAGTCTGACAGCCAGATTCTGGACATCATGATACGACAAAATCAGAAGTACCCCGAAGCACTATGAGGTCTTCTTGCCTAAGAAATTGAATCTGGATCTAATCAAGCCTCTAAACCTAACAGGAATCAAACAGAGGATCAAGTTTAAAAACCACCTCAAGGAAGCAATCAGTCAAATCCAGAAGGTCGAACATTCAATTAGAAAAATGACCTGGTTTCTCTATCACATCAATGGCATGAAGAAATGGGGCCGATTGTAAAAGAGTAAAAGAGATTTAAGGATCATAATCATGAAATGCAATGTGTGGCCTCTGTGTCCTGTTTTGACCAAACCACCTGTGAAAAGAACCTTTGAGACAGTCAGGAAAATCCGATTATGGACTAAGTACTATAAATGAATTATTGTTAATTTTGTTAGATATTATAATAGCACGACAGTTATGTGTAAAACAAAAATGTCATCAGGGGTGCATACATAAGAATTTTAT